GACAACAATAACTAAAAAACACGTAACAAAGACAATAACACTGAACGAGGCCACCAATGTCCATCCACAGGACTTACATAGCTATACTCAGCCTAGTGTGGGAATGCTATTTCTCTTTCCGCCAATACTTTGATGAAATAGGTTTATTGCATGCTGAGATACCATCACTGGAATAATTTGTCCAATGTAAGTAAAAACTTGATAGCCCTTGTTGTCTCCCCTGGGTTTGAGTAATTGAATTACTTGTATGACAGTTGGTGATATGGTTTCCATCAGAGCCCCCTGAGCTCCCAACTTCTACATATGGTCTCCCTTCTCTACTGTCAAGTACATGTCCAACTTTTCTGTTAATCACCTTTCCTGATCTGACAAGTAATGCTCCTGTATGTTTGTACAGTTTTACAGTTTCTGGTCAAACTCCTTCACCTGTATCATCCAGTATACGTTCTAATTTTTAACACATCATACTCTTGATAGCAACAAAGTATAAATAATTATTCGCTTTAATAAAAACTAGAACACAAACAGGTCAACAAGGGCCCCGCCATGTATCTGACTGTATAAATCGTCCATGTGGCTGACTGTATAAATCGTCCATGTGGCTGACTCTATAAATCGTCCATGTGGCTGTATATTTTAAACCCACATGTGTCTGACTGTATATATCCCCCGCCATGTGTCTGACTGTGTATATCGTCCATGTGTCTGACTGTATATATATCCTCCCTCCATGCATCTGACGGCATCTGTCCCCCAGTGATGTGTCTGACTGTATATATATATCCCCCCTCATGTGTCTAAATCTATTTATCACCCTGTCATGTGTCTGCCTGTATATATCCCCCTGCCATGTGTCTGACTATATATATCCCCATCATGTGTCTGACTATATTTATCCCCCTGTCATGTGTCTGAGTGTAAATATATATATCACCCCGTCATGTGTCTGACTCTATATATCACCCTGTCATGTGTCTGACTCTATATATCACCCTGTCATATGTCTGACTGTATATATATATAAATAACCCTGTCATGTGACTGACTGTATATATATATATAAATAACCCTGTCATGTGTCTGACTGTATATATCACCCTGTCATGTGTCTGAGTGTAAATATATATATCACCCTGTCATGTGTCTGGCTATATATATCCCCCAGTCATATGTGTGACTGTATATATATATAAATAACCCTGTCATGTGACTGACTGTATATATATATATAAATAACCCTGTCATGTGACTGACTGTATATATATATAAATAACCCTGTCATGTGTCTGACTGTATATATCACCCTGTCATGTGTCTGAGTGTAAATATATATATCACCCTGTCATGTGTCTGGCTATATATATCCCCCAGTCATATGTGTGACTGTATATATATATAAATAACCCTGTCATGTGACTGACTGTATATATATATATAAATAACCCTGTCATGTGACTGACTGTATATATATATAAATAACCCTGTCATGTGTCTGACTGTATATATCACCCTGTCATGTGTCTGAGTGTAAATATATATATCACCCTGTCATGTGTCTGGCTATATATATCCCCCAGTCATATGTGTGACTGTATATATATATAAATAACCCTGTCATGTGACTGACTGTATATATATATATAAATAACCCTGTCATGTGACTGACTGTATATATATATAAATAACCCTGTCATGTGTCTGACTGTATATATCACCCTGTCATGTGTCTGAGTGTAAATATATATATCACCCTGTCATGTGTCTGGCTATATATATCCCCCAGTCATATGTCTGACTGTATATATATATAAATAACCCTGTCATGTGACTGACTGTATATATATATAAATATGTATTTGTCCCCCACCATGTTACTGACTGTATTTGTCCCCCCACCATGTTACTGACTGTATTTGTCCCCTAACCATGTTACTGACTGTATTTATCCCCTAACCATGTTACTGACTGTATTTGTCCCCTAACCATGTTACTGACTGTATTTGTCCCCTAACCATGTTACTGACTGTATTTGTCCCCTAACCATGTTACTGACTGTATTTGTCCCCTAACCATGTTACTGACTGTATTTGTCCCCTAACCATGTTACTGACTGTATTTGTCCCCTAACCATGTTACTGACTGTATTTGTCCCCTAACCATGTTACTGACTGTATTTGTCCCCTAACCATGTTACTGACTGTATTTGTCCCCTAACCATGTTACTGACTATATTTGTCCCCTAACCATGTTACTGACTGTATTTGTCCCCTAACCATGTTACTGACTATATTTGTCCCCTAACCATGTTACTGACTGTATTTGTCCCCTAACCATGTTACTGACTGTATTTGTCCCCTAACCATGTTACTGACTGTATTTGTCCCCTAACCATGTTACTGACTGTATTTGTCCCCTAACCATGTTACTGACTGTATTTGTCCCCTAACCATGTTACTGACTGTATTTGTCCCCTAACCATGTTACTGACTGTATTTGTCCCCTAACCATGTTACTGACTGTATTTGTCCCCTAACCATGTTACTGACTGTATTTGTCCCCTAACCATGTTACTGACTGTATTTGTCCCCTAACCATGTTACTGACTGTATTTGTCCCCTAACCATGTTACTGACTGTATTTGTCCCCTAACCATGTTACTGACTGTATTTGTCCCCCCACCATGTTACTGACTGTATTTGTCCCCCCACCATGTTACTGACTGTATTTGTCCCCCCACCATGTTACTGACTGTATTTGTCCCCCAACCATGTTACTGACTGTATTTGTCCCCTAACCATGTTACTGACTGTATTTGTCCCCTCACCATGTTACTGACTGTATTTGTCCCCTCACCATGTTACTGACTGTATTTGTCCCCCCACCATGTTACTGACTGTATTTGTCCCCCACCATGTTACTGACTGTATTTTTCCCCCCACCATGTTATTAACTGTATTTGTCCCCCCCACCATGTTACTAACTGTATTTGTCCCCCCTCCATGTTACTGACTGTATTTGTCCCCTCACCATGTTACTGACTGTATTTGTCACCCACCATGTTACTGACTGTATTTGTCCCCTCACCATGTTACTAACTGTATTTGTCCCCCCACCATGTTACTAACTGTATTTGTCCCCCCTCCATGTTACTGACTGTATTTGTCCCCTCACCATGTTACTGACTGTATTTGTCACCCACCATGTTACTGACTGTATTTGTCCCCTCACCATGTTACTAACTGTATTTGTCCCCCCACCATGTTACTAAATGTATTTGTTCCCCCTCCATGTTACTGACTGTGTTTGTCCGCTCACCATGTTTCTTACTGTATTTGTCCCCCTCCACTTTAGTGACTGTATTTGTCCCCCCACCCTTTTACTGACTGTGTTTGTCCGCTCACCATGTTTCTTACTGTATTTGTCCCCCTCCACTTTAGTGACTGTATTTGTCCCACACCATGTTACTGACCGTATTTGTCCCCTCACCATGTTACTAACTGTATTTTTCCCCCCACCATGTTCCTAACTGTATTTGTCCACCCACCATGTTACTAACAGTATTTGTCCCCCCACAATGTTACTAACTGTATTTTTCCCCCCACCATTTTACTAACTTTATTTGTCCCCCCACAATGTTACTAACTGTATTTTTCCCCCCACCATTTTACTAACTTTATTTGTCCCCCCACCACGTTACTCACTGTATTTGGCCCCCCACCATGTTAATGACTGTATTTGTCCACCCACCATGTTACTGACTGTATTTGTCCCCCACCATGTTACTGACTGTATTTGTCCCCCAAACATGTGTCTGACCGGGGTACTGAAAATTACAATTCAAACAAAGCCCCATGATGATCTTTCCATACATGCAGAAAAATTGTCTGTTATACCGCTGAGTCTGGAAAAGGAGATTTTTGAAATATTGGTTAAATTTCCCTTTTAGACACAATGATGCACACATACAGACACAATGACATACACATACAGACACAATGATATACAAATACAGACACAATGACATACACATACTGACACAATGACCCACACATACAGACACAATGACACACACATACAGACACAATGACACACACATACAGACACAATGACCCACACATACAAACACAATGACGTTCACATACAGACACAATGACCCACACATACACACACAATGACCCACATATACAGACACAGTAACACACACATACAGACACAATGACGTACACATACAGACACAATGACCCAAACATACAGACACAATGACATACACATCCAGACACAATGACACACACATACACACAATGACACACACATACAGTCACAATGACCCACACATACAAACACAATGACGTACATACAGACACAATGACCCACACATACAGACACAATGATGCACACATACAGACACAATAATGCACACATACAGACACAATGATGCACACACTACGGCAAAGTGATTACTATATAACCGAGTTATTTAGGTGGGGTATAATTATCAGTAAGTGGAAGTATAATTATGAAGACATTTGATTAAAGCTGTTTGTCAACACAATATGTAATATGTCATTTGAATAAACCCTAGGGAAGCCTAAAGGTGAAACAACACAACGCTTTATGTAAGCTACATGATGGACCATCATTTTGCCAAGAAGTAATGACCTGGTAAACACACTTTTTTTCAAAATATATCTTTCTAAGCTTGGAGTATTATTGATACAATACGTACCAAATCAGGAATATCATAAGCATTGGTCTGTTGGTATGAAAACAGCAGCCAAGAATAGTTTACTAGTCACGCTGTCTTCACTACATGAACTAAAATATTACAGTATAAGCAATGGACGCCAATAACAGAAGAGACAATTTATTGCAACATTATATTGATTCCAACCGAGGATCTCATCATACTGTCAGACAGAAGAATCATGGGTACCTTTAAAATAATGGTTGCTACTTTATTATAATGGAACAAAAAATCACCCCAAAATCCAACTACAAGTTATAAGTAAGCATACGACCACACGTTATAAGTTAGCATACGACCACACGTTATAAGTTAGAATACGACCACACGTTATAAGTTAGCATACGACCACACGTTATAAGACAGACCGGGCCACAAATCATGAAACTCAGCCACTTATCACAGACCTGGCCACAAATCATGAAACTCAGCCACTTATCACAGACCTGGCCACAAATCATGAAACTCAGCCACTTATCACAGACCTGGCCACAAATCATGAAACTCAGCCACTTATCACAGACCTGGCCACAAATCATGAAACTCAGCCACTTATCACAGACCTGGCCACAAATCATGAAACTCAGCCACTTATCACAGACCTGGCCACAAATCATGAAACTCAGCCACTTATCACAGACCTGGCCACAAATCATGAAACTCAGCCACTTATCACAGACCTGGCCACAAATCATGAAACTCAGCCACTTATCACAGACCTGGCCACAAATCATGAAACTCAGCCACTTATCACAGACCTGGCCACAAATCATGAAACTCAGCCACTTATCACAGACCTGGCCACAAATCATGAAACTCAGCCACTTATCACAGACCTGGCCACAAATCATGAAACTCAGCCACTTATCACAGACCTGGCCACAAATCATGAAACTCAGCCACTTATCACAGACCTGGCCACAAATCATGAAACTCAGCCACTTATCACAGACCTGGCCACAAATCATGAAACTCAGCCACTTATCACAGACCTGGCCACAAATCATGAAACTCAGCCACTTATCACAGACCTGGCCACAAATCATGAAACTCAGCCACTTATCACAGACCTGGCCACAAATCATGAAACTCAGCCACTTATCACAGACCTGGCCACAAATCATGAAACTCAGCCACTTATCACAGACCTGGCCACAAATCATGAAACTCAGCCACTTATCACAGACCTGGCCACAAATCATGAAACTCAGCCACTTATCACAGACCTGGCCACAAATCATGAAACTCAGCCACTTATCACAGACCTGGCCACAAGTCACCTAACATTATGGGCAGGTAATCACATGATATAATGGACATGAAGTAAAATAACAAAGCAAGCCACCAGTCACATGACATAATAGGATGGAATCACAGAACAGACCTGACAATAGGTCACATGACATAATGGGCCACAAGTCACATAACAGATATGGCCACAAGTCACATGACATAATGGGCCACCAGTCACATAGCAGATCAGGCCAGAAGCCACATGACATAATGGGATGGTACTACATAACAGACATGGCCAAAAGTCACATGACATAATGGGCCAACCGTCATATAACAGACATAGCCAAAAGTCACATGACATAATGGGCAACCTTTCACATAACAGACATGGCCAAACGTCACATGAGATAATGGGCCACCAATCACATAACAGACATGGCCAAAAGTCACATGACATAATGGGCCACAAGTCACATCACAGACATGGCCACAAGTCACATGACATAATGGGCCACAAGTCACATAACAGACAAGGCCACCAGTCACATGACATAATGGGCCACCAGTCACATAGCAGATCAGGCCAGAAGCCACATGACATAATAGGATGGTACTACATAACAGACATGGCCAAAAGTCACATGACATAATGGGCCACCCGTCATATAACAGACATGGCCAAAAGTCACATGACATAATGGGCAACCTTTCACATAACAGACATGGCCAAACGTCACATGAGATAATGGGCCACCAGTCACATAACAGACATGGCCAAAAGTCACATGACATAATGGGCCACAAGTCACATCACAGACATGGCCACAAGTCACATGACATAATGGGCCACAAGTCACATAATAGACAAGGCCACCAGTCACATTACATAATGGGTCACATGTCACATAACAGACAAGGACAGAAGTCACATGACATAATGGGCCACAAGTCACATAACAGACATAGCCACCAGTCACCTGACATAATGGGCCACATGTCACATAACAGACAAGGCCAGAAGTCACATGACTTAATAGGCCACCAGTCCCATAACATACATGGTCAAAAGTCACATGACATAATGGGCCACCAGTCACATAATAGACAAGGCCACCAGTCACATTACATAATGGGTCACATGTCACATAACAGACAAGGACAGAAGTCACATGATATAATGGGCCACAAGTCACATAACAGACATAGCCACCAGTCACCTGACATAATGGGCCACATGTCACATAACAGACAAGGCCAGAAGTCACATGACTTAATAGGCCACCAGTCCCATAACATACATGGTCAAAAGTCACATGACATAATGGGCCACCAGTCACATAATAGATAAGGCCACAAGTCACATGACAGAATGGCCACAAGTCACATGACAGAATGGCCACAAGTCACATGACTCACCTGGTATCAAGTCACATGACAGACAAGACCAAAAGTCAGACATGGCAACAAGTCATATGACAAACCAGACAACAAGTCATATGACAGATCAGACCATAAGTCACATGACAGACCAGACTACAAGTCATATGAGAGATCAGACTATAAGTCACATGACAGACCAGACTACAAGTCAAACATGGCCACTAGTCAGACATGGCCACAAGTCATATGACAAACCAGACAACAAGTCATATGACAGATCAGACTATAAGTCACATGACAGACCAGACTACAAGTCAAACATGGCCACTACTCAGATCAGACATGGCCACAAGTCACATGACAGACCAGATCACAAGTCAGACATGCCCACAAGTCAGACATGCCCACAAGTCACATGACAGACCAGACCACACATCAGACATGGCCTCAAGTCATATGACAGACCAGACCACAAGTCACATTACAGACGAGATTACAAGTCAGACAAAACAACATGTCAGACATGGGCACACGTCATATGACAGACCAGAACACTAGTCAGACATGGCCACAAGTCACATGACAGACTGACCAGAAGTCAGACATGGCCACAAGTCACATGACAGACCAGACCACAAGTCAGACATGGCCACAAGTCACATGACAGACTGACCAGAAATCAGAAATGGCCACAAGTCACATGACAGACCAGACCACAAGTCAGACATGGCCACAAGTCACATGACAGACCAGACTACAAGTCAGACATGGCCAAAAGTCACATGTCAGACCAGACCACATGTGAAACATAGCCACAAGTCACATGACAGACCAGACCACAAGTCAGACATGGCCACAAGTCAAATGACAGACCAGACCACAAGTCAAATGATAGATCAGATTACAAGTCAGGCAAAACAACATGTCAGACATGGCCACAAGTCACATGACAGACCGACCACAAGTCATATGACAGACCAGAACACTACTCAGACATGGCCACAAGTCACATGACAGACCGACCACAAGTCAGACATGGCCACTAGTCAAATGACAGACAAGACCACAAGTCAGACATGGCCACAAGTCAGACATGGCCACAAGTCAAATGACAGACCAGACCACAAGTCACATGATAGATCAGATTACAAGTCAGGCAAAACAACATGTCAGACATGGCCACAAGTCACATGACAGACCAGACCACAAGTATGACATGGCCACAAGTCAAATGACAGACCAGACCACTAGTCAATTAAAATCTGTCTCATTGGCACCTTAAGGCCCATGATTTTGATGAACTTATGAAAATGTCTTTGTTATAATGTGTACAACATTAATATAATCAATATTGTCATTTTTATTATGTTCATTGACATTATCATCCCTTCCATCTAATCAGCCTGTGTGGCTCAGATATCTGTGATATGGGGCTGCAAACTGTTGACCTTAGAAGATCAAGATTCCAGCATCAGTGATCATGACTCATTACGTTGGCGAGACAGCAGAACAACACTGATTTGTACTAGGGTGACAGAAAATATTGGTTTTTATGCAGTGATCGTAATTTCACTTTTCAAATATGTTATACAATGTATTCACAACTACAACAATTTTGTTTCAGTTGATTTCTTTTAGTTAAATTTCTCCAAAACATGATGGAAATTTTATTTGACATTTTCAGCGGTATACATACATGTAAACTTTAAAGAATCAGTACAGATATTGCCTTAAAAGGAAAAATGTCCTCACTCTAATACCATCCAAACACACCTAAATACCCCCATCAACACACTCAAATACCATCCAAACACACCCAAATACCCTTTCAACACACTCCGTTACCCTCAAAACACACCCAAACACCCTTCCAACACACCCCAATTCCCTCCAAACACATCCAAATACCCTTCAACACACTCAAATACCCCCAAACACACCGAAATACCCCTTCAACACACTCTAATACCCTCCAAACACACCCAAATACCCTTCAACACACTCCAATACCCACAAACACACCTAAATACCCTCTCAACACACTCCAATACCCCCAAACACACTTTAATACCCCCTAATACACTTTAATATCCCCTTATACACTTCACTACCCCTACCATGGCCCACTAACACCTACCTCAGCCCATTAGCCCTACCACATCCCTCTACCTCTACCACTGCCCTCTTTCCGTTACCACAGCCAACTTCCCCTACCACAACCTAATACCCATACCACAGTCCACTATCCCCTACCACAGCCCACTACCCCTACCACAGCCATCTACACCCTACCACAGCCCATTACACCCTACCACAGCCCTCTACCCCCTACCACAGCCATCTACCCCCTACCACAGCTCTCTACCCCCTACCACAGCCTTCTACCCCCTACCACAGCCATCTACCCTCACCTCAGCCCTCTACCACTACCACTACCACTGCCCACTACCACTACCATAGCCATCTACCCCCTACCACAGTCCTCTACCCCTATCATAGTCCTCTGCCCCTACCATAGTCCTCTACCCCCTACCACAGCCCTCTACCCCTACCACAACCCACTACCCCATACCACAGCCCTCTACGCCCTACCATAGCCATCTACCCCCTACCACAGCCCTCTACTCCCTACCACAGCCCTCTACCCCTACCACAACCCACTACCCCCTACCACAGCCCTCTACGCGCCCTACCATAGCCATCTACCCCCTACCACAGCCCTCTACTCCCTACATCAGCCCTCTACCCCCTACCACAGACCTCTACCCTCTACTACTGCCCTCTTCCCCCTATCACTACCCAGTTAAAAAAAGGACTGCCCCCTTACTAAGTCTATTCCCCCTTTACAAAGACCACTACCCGTTAAACACCTTGAAAATACATCCCTTCACCCTTAGGATGCAATAGAAAGATTATCTGGGTGGTGACAGTAAGCCTACTCCACAAGTACTTGAGGAAGGAGAAGCTGACAGCCATGACAAAATTAACATCAGTCTCAGAGTACTTACCTTTACAACTGATATGCAGACACACAGTTCAAAAACCCTTTTGACGAAATTTGGATGAAAATAAGCACAATCAGCGTAAGGGCCTCGCAAATGTGTCTTTCTGATTCCTGAAATTCTGTGGTTGGTGTTAGAATGTTGGAAGATCAAGACAGTCTGCCGTTAGCCTAACAGAATTAAGCAGACTAAATTCCTTGCCCTGCCCTACCACTCTACAACATTGCCAGTCTGCTATTGATTTTCCTGTGTGTCAATTCTAGTGCTATCCTCCTAGTGCAGGCTAGGCAGCCAGCTTTATCCGAAAAACTATCAATAATCCAGGAAAAACTGCAAACAAAATCGCCTCATTAGCTATTCCTGATAGTGTGACCCCAGCTCACCCCAAACCTACCTTGCAAGGTGAGAGCCTGAGTGTGTTCTGTAACTGATGACGACTCTGCCATTGTCACAATGCGACACTACTGTGCTCCACTTACTCCGGCAAGTCCAGTGCAGGATGTGAAACTCTCCTCTTTTAATATTAATGATTCAAGAGGAATTCTGGGAGACGTAATGTCACCGTCACCGTGACGACTGCTTCCCTGCAAATCCTGCTGTTTGTTTAGTATGGATCAATCTGTGTAAAGGTTTCTGTAGAGAAACAAAATCAGACACAACAGGAATGAATGAAAGGTTTGCCTCACTGCATCACTGCCTTCCAGACAGTTGTGTCTGCAGGAATTTATTTTCATGAATATTTAAGTTATTATCTCAGACTGAATATTTGAGAGACAATGGAAATTGCAGTGATAGAGAACTGATATATACATGGTCTGTTGGTATATGTACAATCTAGCTATTGTTATCACAGCCATAACACCACTGACCCACTAACCTGGTATAGACCTAAATTCCACAACCATAACACCACTGACCCACTAACCTGGTATAGACCTTTGTTATCACAGCCATAACACCTCTGACACACTAACATGGTGTAAATCATGTTAACTAACCATAAAACCACATTATCATAATAATAACATAACAGATACACTAACCTGGTATAGACCTTTGTTATCACAACCATAACACCACTGACATACTAATCTGGTATAGACATTAGTTATCACAACCATAACACCACTGACACACTAATCTGGTATAGACATTAGTTATCACAACCATAACACCACTGACACACTAACCTGGTATAGACCTTTGTTATCACAACCATAACACCATTGACACACTAACCTGGTATAGACCTAAGTTATCACAACCGTAACACCACTGACACACTAACCTGGTATAGACCTTAGTTATCACAACCATAACACCATTGACACACTAATCTGGTATAGACCTAAGTTATCACAACCGTAACACCACGGACACACTAACCGGGTATAGACATTAGTTATCACAACCATAACACCACTGACACACTAACCTGGTATAGACCTAAGTTATCACAACCGTAATTCCACTGACACACTAACCTGGTATAGACATTAGTTATCACAGCCATAACACCACTGACACACTAACCTGCTGGTACACTAAACTGGTATAGACCTTTGTTATCAAACCAGTACATCAATGACACACTAACCTGGTATAGACCTAATTTACCACAACCATAACACCACTGACACACCAACCTGGTAAAGACATTAGTTATCTACCAGGTTAGTGTACCAGTCCTGTTACGGCTCTGATAACTAATGTCTTTACCAGGTTAGTACCAGGTTAGTGTGTCAGTGGTATAGACATTAGTTATCACAACCATAACACCACTGACACACTAACCAGGTAAAGACATTAGTTATCAGAGCCATAACAGGACTGGTACACTAACCTGGTATAGACCTTTGTTATCACAACCATAACACCACTGACGCACTAACCTGGTAAAGACATTAGTTATCTACCAGGTTAATGTACCAGTCCTGTTATGGCTCTGATAACTAATGTCTATACCAGGTTAGTGCGTCATTGATGTAATGGTTTGATAACAAAGGTCTACACCAGGTTAGTGTACCAGTCGTGTTATGGCTCTGATAACTAATGTCCATACCAGGTTAGTGTGTCAGTGGTGTTACGGCTCTAATAAACAAAGTCTATACCAGGTTAGTGTGTCAGTGGTATAGACATTAGTTATCACAACCATAACACCACCGATACACTAACCTGGTATAGACCTTTGTTATAAAACCATTACACCAATGATACACTAACCTGGTATAGACCTGAGTTATCACAACCATAAAACCACTGACACACTAACCTAGTATAGACCTAAGTTATCACAACCGTACTGACACACTAACCTGGTATAGACTTTGTTTATTAGAGCCGTAACACCACTGACACACTTACCTGGTATAGACATTAGTTATCAGAGCCATAGCAGGACTGGTACACTAACCTGGTATATACCTTTGTTATAAAACCATTACACCAATGATACACTAACCTGGTATAGACCTGAGTTATCACAACCATAAAACCACTGACACACTAACCTAGTATAGACCTAAGTTATCACAACCGTACTGACACACTAACCTGGTATAGACCATTAGTTATTAGAGCCGTAACACCAACACCACTGACACACTAACCAGGTAAAGACATTAGTTATCAGAGACATAACAGGACTGGTACACTAACCTGGTAGATAACTAATGTCTTTACCAGGTTAGTGCGTTAGTGGTGTTATGGTTGTGATAACCTGGTATAGACCTAAGTTAGCACAACCATAACACCACTGACACACTAACCTGGTATAGACATTAGTTATCAGAGCCATAACAGGACTGGTACACTAACCTGGTATAGACCTTTGTTATAAAACCATTACATCAATGATACACTAACCTGGTATAGACCTAAGTTATCACAACCATAAAACCACTGACACACTAACCTGGTATAGCCCTAAGTTATCACAACCATAACACAACTGATACACTTACCTGGTATAGACCTTTGTTATCAAACCATTACATCAATGACACACTAACCTGGTATAGACATAAGTTATCACAACCATAACACCACTGACACACTAACCTGGTATAGACATTAGTTATAAGAGCCGCAACACAACTGACACACTAACCTGGTATAGACATTAGTTATCACAACCATAATACCACTGACACACTAACCTGGTATAGACATTTGTTATCACAACCATAACACCACTGACACACTAACCTGGTATAGCCATTAGTTATAAGAGCCGCAACACAACTGACACACTAACCTGGTATAGACATTAGTTATCACAGCCATAACACCACTGACACACTAACCTGGTATAGACCTAAGTTATCACAATCATAACACCACTGATACACTAACCTGGTATAGACCTAAGTTATCACAACCGTACTGACACACTAACCTGGTATAGACATTAGTTATCACAGCCATAACACCACTGACACACTAACCTGGTATAGTCCTAAGTTATCACACCCATAACACCACTGACACACTAACCTGGTATAGACCTAAGTTATCACAACCGTAACTCCACTGACACACTAACCTGGTATAGACCTAAGTTATCACAACCATAACACAACTGATACACTTACCTGGTATAGACCTTTGTTATCACAACCATAACACCACTGATATACTAACCTGGTATAGACCTTTGTTATCAAACCATAACACCACTGATACACTAACCTGGTATAGACCTTTGTTATCACAGCCATAACACCACTGACACACTAACCTGGTATAGACCTTTGTTGTCACACCCATAACACCACTGACACACTAACCTGGTATAGACCTGAGTTATCACAACCATAAAACCACTGACACACTAACCTGGTAAAGACATTAGTTATCAGCGCCATAACACGACTGGTACACTAACCTGGTATAGACCTTTATTATCACAGCCATAACACCACTGACACACTAACCTGGTATAGACCTTTGTTATCAAACCATAACACCACTGACAATAACCTGGTTTAGACTTTTGTTATCACAGCCATAACACCATTGACACATCCTGGTATATATCATGTTATCAGAACCTACCTGACTAATTTTACTAAGTCTTACAATAAATTTAGCATTTGAACTGAGTTAACATGGCATTTACAGTATATATGAATCATACAGTTTTTTAGGGAAACATTATCTTATAATGCACATAAGTACTATATGATTTGCTCGCATGCACGCAAATCTGTGTCATTCAAGTTCAAATTAGTCTCATGTATCCATATACAGTACTGTACTACTAACAGTATATCAAACTACCAGGAATATAGGAAGGGATTACATCTCAGGGAGATACCTATTTTGAGTGTCTATAGTGGCAATAAGAACATGAGATTTGGTTTAAAATCTCAACCTATATAAATTTCATGTTCTTATTCAAAAATTGCATTAAATTCATGTATGCACCTATGAATCTAGACAGTTGTCACTAGTGTTGAACTTCAAATATTAGCCTATTAGCTCAAAAGCTTTTTTATAACTAATAACATAAAGTAGATGACTGAGGTGTGGGAGACCTTCCAGCTGCCATGGGTATGTAAACAGAAGTGACCTTGGCCCAGTTCTTCAGTGGCTACCTAATTTTACCTTTGATAAGCCCGTGTCTGGTAAGAAGTCCATCCCCTTTTCTTCAAGTTCGTTGGTGACAGCTTAGTAAACAGATTTGTTTGTATTGTTGTATGTCGTGAATACATGTTAAGTTAACCAGCAGGATGTGTATCAATGCTTTCTGGTAATTAAAGGATTGGGACTTTGAATCCTGATTATTGCAAATTTTATTTTTTGTGTATCTTTAAAACAAAACCATTTAACAAAATCACTTAACAGTTAGCAAATAATTTAGCAGAAAACTAGAGCTGTCGCCAGGATGGCTGACTAATACCCCCGCTTCCGCCAAGATATAATTCATGGAAAGTTTCAATGAGGGGCATAACTCCATCAAAAAGGGTTGAAATCCCAAATTAAAATGCGGGTACACCAGTACATATGATATCGATTATTCATGCAAAGTTTCAATGAAATCCACCTGTTAGTTAAGAACTAGTTGCACGGACAAGTATTTCGCACAAAGGGGCATAACTCCATCAAAAAGGGTCGAAATCCCGAATTAAAATGCCAGTACACAACTACAATAGATACCGATCATTCATGCAAAGTTTCAATGAATCCACCAATTAGTTAAGAAGTAGTTGCACGGACAAGTATTTCGCACAAGGAGGCATAACTCCATCAAAAATGTCGAAATCCCCAATTAAAATGCGGGTGCACAACTACGTAAGATACCGATCATTCAATGTATTATACGTCACATTATACGTCTCTGGTTTCAACGAATCCACCTGTTAGTTAAGAAGTAGTTGCACGGACAAGTATTTCGCACAAAGGGGCATTTCTCCATCAAAAATGTTGAAATCCCAAATTAAAATGCGGGTACACAAGTTCATAAGATACCCATCCACCGGTTAGTTGAGGAGGAGTTGCACAGACAAGTTTATCGCAAAAAGGGGCATAACTCCATCAAACAAGGTCGAAATCCCAAAATTAAAATGCGGGTACACAACTACATCAGATACCTATTATTCATGCAAAGTTTCAATGAAATCCACCTTAGTTAAGAACTAGTTGCACGGACAAGTATTTCGCACAAAGGGGCAAAACTCCATCAAAAAGGGTCGAAATCACGAAATTGAAATGTGGGTGCACAACTACATCAGATACCTATTATTCATGCAAAGTTTCAATGTTATCCACCAGTCAGTTAAGGAGGAGTTTCACGGACAAGTTTATCGCAAAAAGGGGCATAACTCCATCAAACAAGGTCGAAATCCCAAAATTAAAATGCGGGTGCACAACTACATCAGATACCTATTATTCATGCAAAGTTTCAATGAAATCCACCAGTCAGTTAAGAACTAGTTGCACGGACAAGTATTTCGCACAAAGGGGCATAACTCCATCAAAAAGGGTCGAAATCCCGAATTAAAATGCCAGTACACAACTACATAAGATACCGAACATTCATGCAAAGTTTCAATGAATCCACCTGTTAATTAAGAACTAGTTCCACGGACAAGTTTATTGCAGAAAGGGGCATAACTCCATCAAAAAAGGTTGAAATCCCAAATTAAAATGCGAGTGCACAACTACAACCAGGTGGCTCAATTAGTAGAGCATCTGTCTAGAGATCGGGAGGTCCTGGGTTCAAATCCGGGTACAACATTGCTTCTTCAGTTTTTTTCTTCATCCTTAATTCACTATAGGAATACTATTTCACAAAATATATAATCTTGATATAATTATGTTTTATCACACACAAAAAAACCATAATGTACAAGTAATTGTGGAAGCAACTCTAGATTAACTTCATACAAAATTACAAGCTTTTACGTATACCTTGTATATGAAAGGTTGGAAAATGTCGTTTAACATCAAGTTTAACAGTGATTTAGCTAATCACTTTTTGAACAACTGGCAAAACATTTTGAGATTTTAGTTAACCAGACCATGTAGACAACACTCGGCCTCATCAGCTGTCTGTCCTATGATAGGGTGTTTGTGGAGATACAGGAAAACACTGTCAAGTACCATTCCTGGACCAGATCACTTAAACATCTACATTTTTCACACGTACGTAATGATGTACACATTTCGACGAGGCTACGTTGTTAACGACTGTGCTATACATGTGGGCCTGGTGTTGAGACCTGGGGTGTATACAGGTGTGCGAAACATGTGACTAAATCAAGAGTATGTATACCTACCGTAGCTATACGCAAGGGTGTAGGGACCACACAGCCATGATTGGAATAATCTGTCCTCGTTCCCGCCCAGATTAGGATGCACACTCGACTAATACAGTGATAACCTCTCCCAGAGTTAGTCCTATCCGGCTCTTGTATGGCACCAATGATATGGTAATCCTCGAAAATCCTAAAAATATATATTTAACACTGTAATTCCAATGGCATGATTCCTTTTTATAAGCAGATAGACGAATTACATACGGGGTCATCTCAAAAGCCATTATGTCCAGCCTTGAGCTCAAGGACCCCCAAGGATTACACTAAATTAACATTAAGGTACACAGGTGTATCGACTCTAAAGGGAAAAAATGCACTGAATGCAGGCGCGTAGCTACCATGTAAGCCAATAAGCCCGGGCTTGCACATGATTTTGACAAGTTTAGGTTTTACATTGTTAATAGTTAGTACAAAAATGTATTAAGTTTAGAAATGTCCATTGCATTAATGGACAGTTCCAGGCGGAACTAAACTGCTCGATTGAGTAAATTGAGAAACTCACGCACGGCGTGCCAAACGTAGGAAAGGACACTTTGGAATCTAACTAAATGAGCCTGCCCAATTACAACACAACAGAATTTTTAAAAATCACGGTGCTTTGTATTTTTTCACTTTGTCAGATTGCGCATAATAATACCTTCTATAATGGACGTATATAAAACTAAACTTTAATTTTATTCCATGTCCACAAAATGTTTATGAAACCAGAAGACGAAACGGTGTGGGAGACTGAAAAGCTGGGCATGACGATGATAGTGGGGGCAACCTCGCTTCTCGAAATGCCCAACAAATAACAGGAGCAAGTATAAGGAACCAGTCACAAAGCACAAACAGAAGACGAAACTGTGTGGGAGACTGAGTAAAGGTGACAGTGGGGGTAACCTCGCTTCCCAATTAACTCGGATCAGATTATGAGAAAGACAAACCCAATTGCATGTTCACTAATGCAGAAGTATCAAATGCATTTATCAAGAATAGGTAAAAACCAGACAATGTATGTATGGAGGGTGTACAAAGCAATATCGACGGTTAATCTTCACAAATTACACTGGATCCACGTAAATAGGTATATATATATACAAAAACTAGGACTTTTTCTGGCGTAAAAACGAGAAAACATACATCAGGACGTGGGAAATGGCTCCTGAGACGTTCTAGAAAACAAAATATTCATGGGGGAGACCCCCCTAACGGGCTAACGGGAAGGGGGAAGAACCCCTCCCGTACCCTCCCCATGCTCGCGCTTCGGGGGGGGGGGGGGTAAGGCAGCCCCATGTCGGGCTTACACATGGTAAAGGGGCTAGCTACGCGTCTAGAATGTGTATGAATATGACAGAGACGAGACGTTAAATGCCGGGAAGAACCCCAATGACAGACAGGTGTCTTAGAACGGAAACATTTATACTGAGATTAACAGCACATCAAAAATTTGATTCATCACCTGAAAACAGAAGCGGTCAAATATAGGCAACGTGATGCTAATATCAGCACATATTCAGGATAAGTCAGGGAGCATCCTCCGATAAATGATAATCTCAACAACACTCCATCGTAGCTTGGCAGTCACGTGTGTAGCGCTAGCCTAAATAGTTTTCAGAAAATGGCAATATAAATGTACATTTCAAAGTGAAATTTTGTATCATAAAAGACATATTCATGTCATTTGTAGTTGTAGTCGTAATTGCTAGTCACACTGATCAACAATTTACTGGAATCAGGACACGATGTCTACGAAAGGTCGGAGGAATAATTATATAACAACGGGTATACTTTATGGGCATGAGTGAAAATGGCGTCAAGTTCAAATATCCTCCCACCACGCCCATACCAGTTGTTTTCGGCAACACATCACCTATGTATCCTCTAGTAATGTTAATGACATCAGTGAGATAGGAGATAACAAATACTGACGTCGAAATGGGACACAGTCAACTTAATACTCCCAAACCAAGCGTCTCTACATGTATCGTAACATACACGGTATTTGGGGGGAAAACACGAGTTAGAATAAATTTCAGTATGATAACGTTCTTATCCAAACATAAACTGACACCATTTAATAATCTCCACGTGGAAAGGCGAACTAAATGTGACACGTTAACCGTAAACCATATACTCGTTTAATCTGAACTCGAATACAACTTTTATAGGCGATTTTGTTAAAATGTAACGGAAATTACCAGGGTATGGTCCAGACCAATTCTTGTTATTTTGGGATCAATTGCGCTTTGTCATTTCAAGTTCGTATTTGTTGTCTTGTTTTGCCGATTAATCTGAAATAAAACGTACACAGCTACAGACCACATGACTCTACATTCGAAAAATGATATTAATATCTTCTAGTATTTCTTAAGAAATACCAATGTTAAAATCCAAGATGGCGTACTGATGGCCTTTTTTTCGAAATGAAACATGCAGAACTAAGGCCCAATTCAGGGGAACTTTCGTATGAATTTTGAGAAAGACCCGCTCAAAATTATTATAGTCTAACGAAGGGCGATTTGAACAGCCCAGCAGCTGTAACGGGGAGCTAAATACTTGGTAATTTCTTTGTGAACGAGTGAGCGGTGGGAACTTTTATTCTTCACTGACTGAAAAACTTAACACTTTCTGCACACTTATAAAATTCATGAAACCACGAGGAAAAAACGGATTTTTCTTGCCACAGCGAACAAGAAAAGTATCCTCCGGTGTCACTTCTCAGACGTTCTATAATACCGCCACCAATGTGGTAACAACCAGTTTGTTATTTTTTAATCATCAATACCTGAAAAATGCTTACAACCAGATATGGTGGATGTTTATCACATATAACCGGAGAAGACCCCCC